ACTTTGACCGTGCACAGTAAACATCGCACGTGTGGACAACAAATAACTGGTAGAATAGACAAAATTGTTCCATTATGGTGCATTGTGGTAATCCTAGCCATGGAGCGAGGAGTTACAGTGTCTGGACAACTGTAGTAAGCTAACTATCCTAGATGACGTCATATAAGCACCTACAAGTTACTGTTTCCGCACAACGAACTACCGGCGAATCGTGCCAACCAATCAGAGGTAGTGCGGTCCAAACAGAAGCTGTATGGTGTCAAGAATACAAGCAGGCAAATGGTGGACATATACTTAACTAATAAACTTTCTTTGTAGATCACAGTGATTGTTTTTCAATAAAGAACTGCTACTTTTGTGGTCTTTTACTTGTGTCTCGGTTAGGTGGGATGCCAGTGTAAGTTAGTGTTTTAGTTCCATCTTAGATTCGTGATTCGTAATCTCATGGAAAGCCAAACAATATAAACACTACCACATGCAGAATTTCACCGATATTTGTTGGTTAACTTTAGTAATCGGAGTGGACATGAATCTCGAATCACTAATCACCACTGATCATGAATCCTGATCGAAACAGAAAGTCGTACTGACAATTGTGTGCCGCAATAACCCACCATCGAGAAATGGGAATAAGGCCACATCAATATTGGTTGAATCATTGGCAAAAATCAGTGGGATTGAATTATACAAATAAAAAGAAACGTCATTGATTAAGTAGATATGCACCAAACGCTTACTTGTATTTTCTTTGTCACACAAATTCGGTTTGAACCACACCCATATTATGTGCATGTGTTTCAATGTATTGAAGCGGTAAAGTGTAACTCCTTGCTCGGCGTTATACTGAAGGATAGGATCAACGATAAACTATTCATCTTGTATTATTTATACATATATATATATATAACACTGTTAGTTTCGTCACTGCACAAACCTTGACCTCTCCTGTTCACAGTTAATTCCCTTTTGACCACTTCCTGTCGGGCTAGCGAATGACCAGTTTGTGTTTCTTAGTGTCATTTATATCGATCAATCTAAGGTGAGGCTTTTCACACATTATGCGCTGAAAGTTTACAATCCTTCATGGTATATCAGTAGTAGCTTCTAGCAGCCAATCGGTAGTAGAAATCAGCAGTGGAATCCGGATACACGTCCAATTTATTGTCTGCTACCTGAGTCATCACCATAATAAACAATGTTAATGGGTTCTCCCCAACGAAGAGACCTCGGAGATTTTGAAACACAGTCTACTTTTTTCTCAATATCTTTTCACTGCTCTTCATAACATATCAAATCACTTCTGTTCAGGGAATCCATAGCGAAATGCTTCAAGACTCCTCTGCGGCTAACACTGTTTGCCACTCCATATCGAACACACTCGAACACAACCTAAAGTTGCTTGTTCCCGTTGAATAGCCTGCTTACTGATAGAGATATCTGAAATGACACACACACACACGTGTGTGTGTGTGTGCATGTGTTGGTTCAGTGGAATCTGATGTTCTATATTGCCCAGCTTGTTAGATGGTGAGTTTTTGTCGTTCGGCGGGAGGGTCGGATGAAAACAAGAAGGCCATATGGCATGGGATCGATTCTCTTGGCAATGGAGAGATGAATATAGTGGGGTTTGAACGGCGGTGCTGAGAGAGGAAACGAAGTTTGGGTTGTGGACAATCAAAGGTGAAGTAACGTGTGGATACCAGGTGAAGTAGAGAAGCACCGATGGCCACGGTGTCTTGCATTTCAGTCCGGATTACAAATTTATTACGAAGAAGCAATCGGTGTGTGCGACAACTTTACCTTCACAAGCAAACACATGATTTGCGTGACTTTCGTTTCCTCCCTTTGCTCCCGATCAGTGAATTTTTTTGACGGATTTCACAAACCCCTCTACTGGGTTTTTCACAGAAAAGTGTGCGGAAGAAATGTGTCCATATCACATCACATTGGATTTATGCTGCTTAGCTGGATACACGTAGTAACGGAAATGGGCAAATAACGAATCATGTTACAAATTAAAGCATGAAATCGTACTGGAAGTCGTACGCTGGGATCTTCCGTCACTGAGACACAGGAACAAGGTCACAAAAGTAGCAGTCCGCTTATTGAAAGGAATCGACGGGAACAAATAATAGGTAAATAAAAAATATCATTGGGCAAACGGACATCAACCAATCGCCGTTCTCCTTCTCCGAGGTACACGGCTTCTGTTTGAACCCCGTGACCTTTGATTGGTCGATACTTTTGGCCTATGGTCCGATGTCCAGAAACTGGAACGCGTAGGTGCTTGGCTTGAGTCACCTCGGATGGTTGTTTCATCACAATACAATATTCTCGACATTGTGATCATCATTTTCGATAAGGAACTGATTCCTTGACAAATGGAGTGCCTAGTTTATTGGTGAAACAACAAACTTGCAACCAAGACTTCAAAACTTTTACCTAGGGTGAACACCCTTGAGCTCGTTTCACTGAATGTTATGTTATTGCTCCAAAACGGTTGCAGTATTTTATCATGTTTGCATTCTTTGGATCGGCAAGAGCAAGTGATTTTGACTGACTCACTAAGTTCATAAATTTAGCACTAGGCTTCAAATTAAAATTCAACACAAGTATTAATATTGCAAATCTACACGATCGAATATGGTTAATCTGGCGCATCGATCTTAGAATTTGGATGAATCAATGAAGTGCGGATCACCTTCACATTCTGGTCAGATTTGTTCCATTTAGCCATGGTGATTTCCCCTTCAAAGAGTATCTATTTCCCCATACTTATACAGTCATCCAACCCTATATGTATCTGCTGGATGCTTGACTGTCAACCACCCAAAACACCACACTCAATTGAATCCCGTTCAGTTTGGCCACTGATCCACGTAGGCAAGAGAAGCTTCCAAACGGGGATGAAGTGAACTAATCAGTGTGAGTACCCGGTGAAAATATGAGACATTGATTAAGATATTCTATGTTCTTCGTAATTTGGGACAGATGGCAACTACCTCCCATCTTTTCCCTTCCCCATATCAACTAGACAGTTGGAATTCGTAGTTCCCGGGACAGTACTCGGACTCGAATAGCGCGAACTCAGACTCAGGCTGAAAACCCACTGAATAGAGAGAGAGAAAAAAAAGACAGGTAGAACCAAGACGGGCTGCGGATACAGTTAATTCTAATTGGAAAATCGTGCAAATTACATTACCACAGGTGTTAATCAATCATGGGCCGGTTCTTCCATATTCAGTCGCGAGCACTACGCACCGTCTGGTCGCTTTCGTATATTCGGTCAATCCAGATTGATTGTGCTTGAGATCACAAGATTGGTTGCGAATTCCGTCATCTGATTGGCTGCTTGGAAGCTATGTCGTGGCGCGTGCGTACCGCCGTCCGAACACATCGCCCGTCTGAGTTACGGTAAAAACGGGCGTAAAAAAATCACCAAACCCTACTAGCCGGATGGTTAACCACCATCTCGTTACGACAAACGATTGACATATAGGTTCTCATTTCCGGTTCGATTGACTCAATATCTAACAAACTACTACTGTGAATCACTTGATGAACAATATACATGGAATTTGCGCTCCCCTCCATCCTTGCGCCTAGATTATTGGATAATCATATGAAATCTTGCCGGTTCGATAGTGAATCATTCAATGGTTAGGCGATATGCATAAAATCCCCCTCCGCTATCGGTTACTTCAAGTTCAAGCTCAAAATATGGTAACTTATCAGAACGGAGATCGTTAGAATGTCAATTGAAAATTACACTAAACTCGGCAAGATATCGATGATCACAGCAGAAGAATCAATGAGGCCTGAACCAATTTAAAGGTGCATTACATGAACACGTGGCCTCGCATCCTATTGTGCTGTGTGGTTCCCATGTTATTCGCATAATAGAAGCTTCTTTTCAAACAATTTATGTGAAAATCAATTTCGGATAGCTTTTAACATTACTGGCCATGTTACTGGGATTTTCACGCCGTGGGTCCAGTGAGTCTAACTTGACCGCGCTTCAAGCTCACCCATACACAAGAAACGGTCACGTGACATTAAACGCAACACGCACACACGGTGACCCACGGACGTACAATGAATCAACAGCCATCACTGTCTACGATCAATCAATTCGCCAGACACATGTATGCTGTCTTCCGAAAATAACATTTTCCTCTATCACCGACAATCCTGTTTGGGGGGAGGGGCAGAACACGCTTATCTCATGAGTTTTCTTCGGAACTTTCCGATTTCCGAGTAATTAAGTTCCAAAGATATTATTAACTAGACTTGGCATTCTCGAGAACATGATGAATGAGTAGGAGAAAAATATTTCACAGTGGAAATTTCCATCTGGGCTAAAGTGCGGGATACTCTAATGTCTTTGCTAATCGTTGAATCAGCGGGTTATCGCTCAGATTATCGATTTGATAATCGATTTGCTCCCGTTTCAATCCAAGCCCATAATCATCACTAGCTCACTAGCTGGGTGTATTACACTCAAGGAAACAGGACAAAAAGAAACTGTGCCAAGTGCAAAACTGTTGCCTGGTGGTCTTAATAACATCGGTAAGACCAAATTACAGATTGAAAGAAGGAACTCCAACTTATGTTTTCCAGTATTCACATTCACTTAAATGTACTTGTGTAAACATAAGTTATTGATGTCGACCGATTATCCTTCAAATTTCACCTTTACACACTCATTTTATCCCGTCGAAAACTCAGGAAACACCGAATTCCATAGTTTCCCTATTGTCCGAGTTCATCTGTATTGCAAATCTGACAGCTCAAATCTAATCTCATTATGATATCAACAAGAAACCTTATTGCTAAACACCTTCCTGTTCATGGGGTTGAATAAGGAATTATCGATCAACCACATTGCAAGGTATGCATGTTGCTCACTGTATCATTTGTACTCTGTGTTCTTCTCCCCAACCGTTCTCAGCTTTCCAATCCCCGTGTCTGACACCGCTATCCTCGTACGGGGCAAGCGAACTGGCCAAACAGACAATTTGCGATTCAGAGGATATCATTCGGGAATTGGGCTATCGATTTCGAGCAATAGAGCACACAGATGGGACAACAAACAACGGTCAGTTGGAGGGAATCTGTGAACTCACTCTGGTCCCAATTTGTTTGAGTGAACCGAAAATGGTATTCGGTGGTTTGGTCGATTCGCGAATGCGTACCATTGGTCGGGTGTTTCAAACTCAGGCCGAATGTGAGAAAACGTGTTTGAACAATCGACGTATACGTCGGAGTGCTCGGGATCGCGATGATTCGGATAATGAACAGAATACGAGCACGTCGGAAGATACACAACAACTCGAAGTGTTGGTAGAATCCATACTGGAAAAGAGCGGTTATGAATCAGGTAAATGACAAGTTTGATCGATCACGATAACACATCCTAACCAGGTGTATTTTCAAATTCTCACGGCAGAGAATCAGGTCAAATATTCACTGAAATTTTCCGTATACGTACGTACGCATTGAAACACACAGAAACAAGCACGCACGCAGATGGGCACACACACACCGGTCGCGCATAATGCGCTGATTCTGTTTGTAGTAGACCGTTAACAGAATCGCACATGTACAAATCGAAAACTGTTCTTGGCTCCGATCCCTCGTCAAATCAATAGAGGGTCGTTGGTACAACTAACCGCTATTCCCTACGCAAAGTGCACTTTCGGAAATCTTGTTCATGCTTCGTTCCTGTTTCTGGGTCCCAGCGAAGTGTCAACACTGGGGGACATGTGTGTGCGTTTGTGTGTGTGTGTGTGTGTGTGTGAGTGTGTGTGATTATTCCCGAGTACACTGTGTTACACTCAGCCTTTTTGTCGTTAATTTTGCTTGTGAAATCGGAAATGCGCGAGCACATCAAGGTTTGTTATTGGAACCAGATGTCCATTGGATAAAGCTGATAAATAGATCCCTTTAACGTCCGTACCCATTGCGTATAGGCTCTGGTTGTCAACCTTTTGGTTGTGTTGAGAAGCCTATGGCGAAATGATGTTAGGAGTGTATCGAAAAATTGATGCGCTACGTGTTGTTTTGTGGTGAATGTTATGGTGTTAATAACACACCGATGTCGGTAGAGAATTATATTCCCTGACGTTTCGGTTACCGTGGGTAACCTTTCTCAAGGCAGGTTTTACAATCAAATGACTCAAATGACTCTGAGTCATTCTCTATGGCGAAATGTTTCGTAATCGTAGTTCGGACGGACAATTGTGCCCATAGTCTCGGAGATAGAACCAAAATTGTTGTCGGTTACAGGTTAACAAATTAAGCAAGTGACAGTTTCCATGGGATCGAAAGGTGATATCTCTAATGGATCTCCAGTAATCAGAACTGAAACACGTTGCCATTGTTATGTTTACCAAATATCTTGGTTCCAAATAGGCGAGATAGGTAGATGAGTAGATTTTTGATAAATGTGAACGATCAAATGGGCTATTAATTATTTGTAGTTTGCAAAAATGCATGTAATTTTCGCATTAAATTGTGCGTGGTGATTTGTGTTTCGAGTTTTGCACTTGTGCTTTCCAATCTTTTTTCATTTCGTCAGTTTGTGCGTTATTTTTCCTAGCTGCGTAATTTCATTACCGCTTACTAACCGATTGGTTGCTTTTCATCTAGAAAAATGATGTCATCAGATCGTATTACTTGCAACCAACTGTCCCTTCCATATCAACATTTTGGGTACCATGGTTGACCACCCATACCTTGCATTTTCCCTATGTGCCGCTGGGTTGAAGTATGAATAAGCTACACAGGAAAGAAACCAGTGCTAGCTTATTACCATACCTGCTTGTGAGCGATAGCCTCTCAGTCTCTAACTTGTACGGACACAATGCGTGAGCAGCAGTGAAGTGTTGAACTATCACTTATCAGTCCCAGGAAGATTACAATATACTTAAACCCCAAGTTACTTTTATATACTACCCTTCATTACATGCAATTGAGAGCCCCTTAAAAAAGATCCTAAACATTTTGGGTTTAGTGAAAAGCAGTGAGGATAGTTCATCTCCGGATTCATCAGATGACTCGGCGTTCACAAACAGAAACCAGCCATTGAGTCCGTTTTATTCACTTCGCGAGTACAAAAACGAGGCAGATGTAGCCAAATGCAAGGTTTCATTGACTTTACTGTATCATTTCCGTGCATCATTTCGATTTAGATAATTTATAATAAAGACGAGTCAGGCAATGAACATGAGAACAATGTAAATCGATCAGGTGACTGTAAAAGTTGGGCCATGGGTGTTTAGGGCTTTGATAACGGTGGGGAAACACCATCGGTCGATTGTTTTTGTGCACATAGCAGTTTACTGTGTGTGTGTCTGTGTGTATGGGTGGTACAATTAGCCCTGCATGTTGTAGCTCGGACAAAAAGTGAATAAAAAATCAATTAAAAACCGTATTCTCCTTAAATTATTGCGCTTGACATAGAAGAATCGATGTCAAAAACATAATCGGATGAATGATTGCACATGGGTTCAAACCTGTGCAGCAAGTAAGCACACAGTGGAATAAGCCATACGTATTAGGTAGTACACATGTAGTCGGTCCGTGGGCCGGTGAGCAGGAGAAGGAGCGGAAACACGTAGGTACGTGGGCAAGCAGGTCGATAACTGGCTCAAGGGTCACATGATATCAGAATGCGGTCAAGCTGGAACAGAACTCCCAGTCACCGAATCACTCAACCTGGACCGTCCTATACTAACACCTGATTGGTTGGAGCAAATCGATATTCTAATAGAGTTAGACCGCATGACCTGAGTGTGGGTGGTGGTTTCAGGCATCGGAGAATCTATGAAGCAGATTACAGGCATGTACGAAACACGTTGCAGTTAACTGTAGGCCACAACAGAGTAGTTTTCGAGTGTCAGGACCGTGGGACTATTCCGATAGAAACCTTGGTGAACACTGATCATCTGTGGTAAATACTTGTGGATACCAGTTCCAAAAGAATCTTTAAACGTTAACCTTAAGTGCGTTAAAATACACCGTTTTCGTGTTTATGCTCATTCCGAGATTCATCATACACATACACCTCTGGGAACACAACTTATCCTACCGTCTATGAGGAATGTGGTACACTTTTTCACGTGACCTCGAAGGAACCATATCAGTCATGTAGAAAGAATTACTGATAGCGTAAATCGGATGAACAATGTGGTGTTGTACAGTAATCATTACATCTAGTCAAACATCCACGAACACACACCCAAACCTGCCCTAAAAACTTAACTGACTAGAGAAGGAGAGAGGATGGGAGTTAACGGGTAATCTACTGTGCTTCTCTTTCATCCTCTATTGCTGCTGAACCTAAAAATGAACGGGCAGTAATTGAAGACAACATCTGAAAAAAATCGAATTGGCATTTCTAGTTAACCCTGATGTGACCTTGCTAGTAAAGTGGTGACTCACACCTTCCAAGCTCACATCCGGTACGATCCCCAACAAGAGTGTGTGGGTAGCTG